TGGAGGACCCCCCCCTGAAGCCCAACAAGAAGCCCGCGTTGCCCGCGACCTCCTCGACTCTCCTCGATGCCCTACTCGCGCCTGGCTTCGGCGGTTGCGCCGCGTTCCCAGAGCTAGAATCAATAATGCGAGGAGAACGGCCGCGGATGACGAGGAGAGAGTAGCGGCAGGATTTGCCCCCCCCCCCCCCCCACCCGACGCATTGCTACCTTGCCCGGCATGCGCACGCATGCGCCATGGCCTCAACGGCCTAGCAAACCACATTTTTTACACATAAGATGCATGCGAACCCCGCGGGCCTCACAGATGAACAGCTACGCTCGCTGGCGCGCCCGAGGTGCGGGAACAGATTTAGCCGAAAGGACACCCTCGTCAGGCGTGTACTCAATAGAAGATGTCGCGCGCCTTTGTTGCCCTCGGTTCAAGCATCTGCGAGCCAAGCGCCCGACCAACCTGCCCCAGACCCCCCTGCCCCCCCGCCGCGCCACGTTCGCGCCGATAGCGGAGATCAATGGGGGCGAAGCGCCAGAGCGAGACCGAGGGGGCGGGCCAGACGGGCACGTCGAACAACGACGAGAACAAGCCCAACGGCCGCCTCCAGAACCTGATGCGCCGTCTCCTGCCCCAGCACGAGGCAGCCCACCAAGCGGGCGCGAGGGGCGACACTTTCACCCTCGCCCTCAAGGTCGGCACGAAGCTCGAGATGGCACTGGAGGAAGGCCTCCAGAACTACATCGCGACAGGCAAGGCCGCGCGGGAGGGCGAGAACTTCCAGGGGCACCCTCTCGGGAAGAGGCCAGACGCACTCCTGCGGGGCGTGATCCCCCGCCTCGCCGAAGCCTACGCGGGCAGCGCCAAGGAGGTAGAGGGCGCGGCGAAGACCGGCCAGGCCCACGAACAGGTCCCACACGCGCTGCAGGTGCTGAAGCAGCAGGGGGCCGTCACTCAGGACATGGACGCGATCGCGCGCGACGAGATGCTTAAAGGTCAAGCTGACAGAAGGAGCCGAAGACCAAGGAAGCTGGATTTGGGCAGTCAACCATTGCCCTGACCTGAAGTCGGCGCTGACCGTCCTCAGGACCAACGGCGCGCTCAAGGCCGCCCATGCACTTCTGGGGCACGACCACGGGCAGCGCTCAAAGGTCGCCGAGCAGATAGAGGAGCTCGCCTTCACAAAAAGCGACAAGCAGAAGGCAGCCCCCAAGAAGCCGAAGAAGGAGTCGCTCGCCCAGACGGGACTCTCACGAGTTTGTTCAAGCGTCACAGGATGAGCCGCGCTACGGGCTAACACATGGACGGGCGGGGCGTTTCCCATTCTGGCGGTCGTGGGCGCTACGCACTATTTTCTCTCGTGGGCGTGACGAGCGCCTCCGGCCTCGGCCGCGATGACGGCGGGGGTGATGCTTGAGGGCTTGCCCAAAGGCATAGCACCCACCTAACCGACTTCTCACCCACCTATGCGCCTTGCGGCTACCACATCCACTTCCTTGATGGGATGGTCCTCTGGCCGAGCCTCTTTGTGCACTTCGCGTTCGGGGGGTCGAACGAGTGCGTGATTGAGGCGGGGGGTGGCCGCCTCGGACCTGCGCGCTGCTCTGTGTTCTTCCCTGTGCTGCCCCTCGGCCTAGCCCTCTTGAGTCTTTTGAGTTTTGTTTGAGGGGGGCGGCCGCCCGTGCCCCAGAGGGGGACGAGGGCGCCGCTCTCACAGCGCCGCCTCCGCAGAGGCGGGGGCGCGCGGGGGTGGGGGGGCGGCCTTTCCGCCCGAGCCCGCATGCGCACCCGGCGGTGGGCCCATCGTTCGGAATATAGGTTTCCGGCTGCGCCGATTTCGGCGGAATTTTTCCCAGGCCCCACACGAAGCGCCCTTCCTTGGAGGTTCCCGGGCGCAGTGGTTGAAAAAGGAAGGCTGGCGGGAAGCGGCGGAATCAGAAGATGCGCCCCCAAGAGATGAGAATGGTTTGGGGTTCAGGCTTTCCAAAACGCCAACTCGGACCCCATGGTTAACCCTGGACCCACACCTCCTTTCTGTGTTGAGGCAGCCTGACCATTTCGGGCATGCTCTTCATGTGACCTGGGTGGCGCGTTCAGGGCTCCCCGTCATCGTGCGCTCCCGCTGTTAAAAAGTAGGGACGCACAACCAAGCTCTTGAGATGTTGCTCGCATGTGAGCCAAACCTATTCAAAGAGAAGTGGCTCATTCTTGCAGGCAGGCTTCCACGAACGTAGTGGGCGTTTCCTCCACCCATGGGTGAGTTTGTGACGAACCCGTAACTTTCTCATGGGGCTGCTGCTGGGCAGGACCCTTCCTGTCAGTACAGTCAAGTCGCTGAGATAAGGACCGCTTTGGGCTCAGGAGGGGCTCGAATTTCCGGGCCGCCCCTTAGATCCATGTCGTGGCACCTGTCTGTGGCTTGGGCCCGCCGTGGCCAGAAAAGCCCCTCGATTCCCTGTTGTGCGTCCTTCCCCGTAGCGAGCCGACTGCACCCGCTGCACCCGCAGGAGGAGGGGGGTGCTCGAATGAGCCTAGCGTTCTCGAGGACGCTTGAGGCCTCCTGCGGGCGCCCTCGCCACCGCACTGGCATTCTTCACGCAGCCCTGGTCGGAGAGCACACCCCCCGAGAGGTTTCTGTGCCGACGAAAGTCGGCGGCGAACCCAGGGGGGGAAGTGAGAAGGGGCGGGCCTCTTCCGAAGGCTCAGCAGTCCCCCGAGCCTTCCGAAAAGTGTTTGAAGCCTTTCCTGGAGGCACAGGAAGGCTCTCGGAAGGCCCGAGGCATCCCGAGAAGCCCCGCCGCCTTGTGAGAAGGCCTCTCCTGCCTCACTGTCCTCCCGCGCTCTTCGCCGAGAACGGGGCGACCGGGGAGGGATGCGGAGGGCCGTGTCCGTTTCGGCCCAAGCCGTCGAGGCTGAGGAAAGATCGGCGCCGTCCACAGACGACGCCCACCCACCACTCGCGCGCACGGTCTGTAAGGTACACCTTCAGGGCATGTCGTCCGAGGGCATCACCGTGTCGGGCGCCGAGGAGTACCCGGTCTTCGAGTCGTTCGACGACTACGACCTGAAGGAGGGCCTCCTGCGCGGAATCTACTCCTACGGCTTCGAGAAGCCGAGCGCCATCCAGCAGCGCGGCATCAAGCCGATCCTGGACGGGCGCGACACCATCGGCCAGGCCCAGTCCGGCACCGGCAAGACGGCCACGTTCGTCATCGGCTGCCTGCAGCGCATCGACTACGACATGAAGGCGTGCCAGGCGCTGATCCTGGCGCCCACGCGCGAGCTGGCCAACCAGATCCAGAAGGTTCCCCGGCGCGCCCAGGGGGGCAGAGAGACGGGGTGGGCCTCCTCAGAGGGCTCAGAGGGGCTCTCGCCTTCTGAGAAGCCTCGGCCTTTCCCCAAGCCCGGGGGGGGGGCTTCGCAATTGACCGCAGGGCTTCTGAGAAGCCCCGCCGCCCTCTCAGAAGGCCTGCCCGCATTCTCACTTTCCCCCTTCGGCGGGCCGCCGAAAGGTGGCGCTGGCTCTCGGCGACTACCTCCACATCCGCTGCCACGCATGCATCGGGGGCACCTCCGTGCGCGACGACATCGACAAGCTGAAGGACGGCCAGCACGTCGTCGTGGGCACGCCTGGTCGCGTGTTCGACATGATCGGCAAGCGCCACCTGCGGGTCGACGACCTCATCACCTTCGTGCTCGACGAGGCGGACGAGATGCTCTCTCGTGGGTTCAAGGACCAGATCTACGACATCTTCAAGACCCTGCCTCCCAACGTGCAGGTGTGCCTCTTCTCGGCCACGATGGCGCCAGAGATTTTGGACCTGACCTCCAAGTTCATGCGCGACGCGGTCCGCATCCTGGTGAAGAAGGACGAGCTGACGCTGGAAGGTATCCGGCAGTTCTACGTCGCCATCGAGAAGGAGTCAGCGAGCGAAGAACGGTATAACATAATTTTTTCCGCCGTCGGGGGCACCTGCCCCTGGGCGGCTGGAAAGTTTATACCCTTACGGTGGCACCGTAAGGGTATAAACTTTCCAGCCGCGCTGGGGCAGGTGTCCCCGACGGCGAAGAAGTTTCTTGTATACCGTTCTTCGCCCGTTAAAGGAGGAGTGGAAGCTTGACACCCTGTGTGACCTGTACGAGACCCTCACAATCACTCAGGCGATCATTTACTGCAACACGCGCCGCAAGGTCGATTTCCTGGCCGACCAGCTCTCCAAGCGCGACTTCACCATCTCGACCATGCACGCCGAGCTGGACCAGAAGGAGCGGGACCTGGTGATGCGCGAGTTCCGCTCAGGCTCCTCCCGCGTGCTCATCTCCACCGACCTGCTGGCCAGGGGCATCGACGTGCAGCAGGTGTCGCTGGTGATCAATTTTGACCTGCCGCAGAACATGGAGAACTACCTCCACCGCATCGGCCGCAGCGGGCGCTTCGGCCGCAAGGGGGTGGCGATCAACTTCGTCACCAACCAGGACGTCCGCACCATGAAAGACATCGAGAGGTACTACCACACGCAGATCGAGGAGATGCCCATGGACATCGCGGACCTCATCTGAGCGCGCCGAGGCGTGCCGCTGCGCGGCCTGGCTCGGCCCGGGGGGGGGGGGTGCTCGGAGCCGGGCCCGTCCCTCTGCCCGCCCCCTGCTCCGTCGCTCTCCGCTCTCGTCCTCCACCTCTCTCGCCCCGGCGCCGTGCCCTGCAGCAAAAGCGCGGGGCGGGCCGCACCCCTGGGCCGAGGGCAGCCCTCGTCGCCCCTCTCCCCCCCTCACCCCCCCCGAAGGAAGAGCTCGGCCGACTCAGTCGCTCGAGGTCCTCCCCGCTCTCCTTCCTTCTCCTCCTCTTCCTCCTCATTCTCCTCGGCCCGTACCCTCCTTGTCCTCCCTCTGCTTCCTCCATCATCGCGGAACATTGTCTTTCTGCCGTCACCCTGGACCTCGTGAGTGGGGCCACGCGGCAGGGGCATGGTGCTGTATCGAACCTTGTTCTCCCTCCTCCCCGCTTCCAGGCAATATGTGGAGCCTCCGCCTGATGAGCTCCACCCACGCCGTCGTCGAGGCGGCCATCGACATCCCTGGCCCGCCGTTCTTCGGGGACGTCCTGTCGATGGCGGCAGTTTTTTTCGCTTCCTCTATCCGTACGCACATGCCGTCACTAGCTTCTTTCGGAGCGTGAATTACCTACCCCGCTTTCGCTTCCAGGCAAAACCAAGTCATACCACGCGCCTCCTCGTCAAGCGCCCTGACCAGTACAGGCCGTAGTTTGGCATCGTTTGGTATCTCTTGGCAGCGAGGGTGGTCAAAAGCGAGGCAGGTTTGTTTTCCCCCTATTCTTCACTGCCCGAGCGCTGCTTCACTTCGGAGCTCCGACCTGCGCTGCCGAGCAACGGGACTGGACGGGTCTGCGGGGGGGGGGGGGGGATGCGCCCGGTGCCCGTTTCCGTGGCCGCCCGTGGGCGCCGCGCGGGCGCCCCATGAGCTCGGCGCCCTGGCGCGCACGGCCGAACCGCCCCCGTCGCGGGACACTCGGGCAAAATCACGGTCGGCCGCCACAGAAGCGATCGATGTGACGCTGGCCGCGCAAGCGCGGGCCCTCCTCCTCCTCCTCCTCCTCCTCCTCCTCCTCCTCCTCCTCACTCCTCCTCCTCCTCCTCCTCCTCTCCTCTCTCAGCCTCCTCCTCCTCCTCCTCCCCCTCTCCTCCTCCTACCTCTCCTCCTCCTCCCCCCTGCTCCTCCTCCTCCTCCTCCTCATCCTCTGCTCTCCTCCCCTTCCTCCTCCTCCCCCTCCCCCTCCTCCTCCTCCTCCTCCTCCTCCTCCTCCTCCTCCTCCTCCTCCTCCGAGTGGCGCCTCGCGGACGCACCGGGCGCGCGGGGCACCACACGGCTCGCACCGCGGAGCCTGCACCCACCAGCTCGACTACACGTAAAAGTGACCCTTCGCCGGAGTGACTTTTGGTGCGCGCTCACTGGGGTCCCCCGATCGCCGCGCTCGTTGCGATAGTAGCGTCTTGCGCGCTTGTGTTTGGCCTCCTCGCGCCCCCCAAAAAGCCGCGCACCAAAGGTCACTCTTGCCCAGGGTCACTCTTACGTGCAGCCGACCAGCTCGCATCACCTGGCTTTGAACTACCCGGCTGGCCCCACGCAGCTCGCAACGCGCGGTCTGCACCGCGTGGACTGGCCCACACAGCTTCCACCACGCAGCAGTGCACCACCACCTAGCTTGCACAGCACAGCTTGCATCACATGTATTGCACCACAAGCCGTGCACTACAGATCTCGAACCAGCAAACGCCACCACAGATATTGTACCACATGGGTTCCCCACTGCGTAGCATGCACACCATGGCTTGCACCATGCAGATTACACCAAGTATGCTGCGCCAAGAAGATTGTGCCACTGTTCGTGTGTTGAATATATATATATATATATATATATATATATTCCTCTTCCTATATTTTTGCAAGCCCGGGCGGCCGCAAAACCCCGCACCCCCCCCCCCCCCAAACCGGACTCCTGGGATCCTGGGACTTTGGGACCCTCCGGACGCCCATTGAAGCGGTCCCGAGTGCCTCAAGAGCGCTCCAAGACAGGCACAAAGCGCTCCAAGACGCCAAAGATAGCCCCAAGACAGCCTCAGGAGCCCCCAAGACGCCCCAAGCGGCCCCAAAGAAGCCCCCCAAGACGGCCCCGGGAGGCCGAAATGGTCAATTTTCCAATGTGTTTTTCGATGTTTTCTGCTTTCTCGCCATTTTAGCTTTCCGACGCTCCAAGACAGAACTAGAGGCCCTCAAGAGCGCCCCAAGATGGCCCGGGGGGCCCCCAAAACGGCCCCAACACGGCCCCAAGACGGCTCTGGAGCGCCCCGAAACAGCCCAAGAGGCGCCCAAGAAGGCCCAAGAGGGCCCCGAGAAAGCTTCAAACGAGCCCCCACAGGGCGATCAAAAGTTCAAACATCTAACTTTCCGCCCCAAGTGGGCCCCAGGAGGCCCCAGGAGGGCCCCAAGAGGCCCCAAGAGGCTTCCAAAGGCCCCGAGGACTCCCAAAAAGAACCCACGAGGCCCCAAAATGGCTCTCCAAAAGGCAGCCAAAACGGCCCCCCAAGAGGCTTCAAAACTGCTGAATCGCCCCACTTGACCGCCACCTCCGGAACGGCTTCGCTGCGCTGCTCCGTTGTTTGCCAGACAGTGGCATCCCACGTAAAACACCAAAATGCTTGAAATCCCGGGTTCGCAACCACATTCCCGGGAAATCGGCTGCGAACCCGGGATCGGCACATTTCCCCGGTGCGACGCGGACAAATTGCTTTGCCGCTCCCCGACGGCACCTTCATTATCCCTCTCCCTCCTCCTCTTCCTCCTCATGATCTGGCAGTCCTTGGAGCCGCAGCCCCCTGGTCTGTTTCCATATGCGATCGCAAGGCATCTCCGTTTGTCTCACCCCCATGCGCAAGTCGAGACAGCACGCCGCCCCAATGCGTGCCTTACCTTACCTTACCTCATGCTATTCCTCCCTTCGCCGCGCCTCCCCAAATCGTCCTCCACTTCTTTCCCGCCCCTTCTGTCCGACGTTTTGTATTTCCGGAGCCTCCACGGCCGCTCTCATCGCCGCTGATCGGTCCGCTGGGACATTCTCATGGAGTCCCAGTGGCGCGCGGACCAGCAGAGCGAGGGCGCGAGCAAGTAAGGTGCAGGTCCGGGAACTGGGCGCGAACCAACCGCGGTTCAAAGACCGTGGAGGGCCGCGCTAGACGCCAACGCGCGCAAGGGTTGAAGGACCAAGGTGCATGGCGCGAAGCGCCAATGCAGTCTTGTAGTATATATATATATATATATATATATATATATATAATATTATATATACGCATAATACATCCATTACATACATACCTACATACATCAATCCATACAGACAGACAGACAGACAGATAGACAGACAGACAGACAGACAGACATAGCTACCTACCTACCTGCATGCATGCATGCTTGCATGCATGCATCCATTCATGCATGCATACATACATGCATGCATGCATGCATGAATGCATGCATACATACGTAAACACATACATGCATTCATTGAAACATTCATAGATATATATATATATATGCAAGACTGCAGTGGCGCTTCGCGCCATGCACCTTGGTCTTTGAAGTTTGGTATGCAGGCGGAATAGCAGGAATATCAAGCCGACAATTTAGAGATAACTCCTTGTTGCCTTTTCCGGCATCGCCGCTATAATAATGTTATTCGTTATCCTCTATCCATGCTTCTTTTTCTTTATTTTCGCCGCACCTTGCACATTCTCCCCATCCCCCTCAGCTCTTTTTGCGGAGGCTCCTCCTTGGAGAGCCTCTGGGGGCCTCACAAAAGTTGTTTCAGGCTTTCGTAAGGCCTTCTGGAGGCCTCCTGGGCGTATTCTGGGAGCATCTGGGGACTTCCTCGGGCCACCCTGCCCCCAACCACGGTCTCCCTGAACGACCGGGTCACGATTTGGAATGCTTCGGAGGGTGTCTTGGGGCCATCTTGGGCCGCCATGGGGCTCTCTGAGGGCCATCTTGGACCCGTGTTGTGCCGTTTTGGGGCTCTCTTGGAATGCCTGGAAGCCCTTTCGGATGGTTGTGGGGCGATGTTGGAGCCTCCCAGGCGGTTTCGGACGCCCAGAAGACCGCAGTCTTTGAGCATCGGGAAGCCGAAAAGAGGAGAAACCCAAAATTCAGCAAAAACCAACAGAAAATCAAAGATTTGTGCCTCTTGGGGCCTTCTTGGGAGTGCTCTTGGAGGCGTCTTTGGGGCCGTCCTGGAGGCCTTTTGGGCCATTTTGAGGTCACGTCGGTCACTCTTGGAGCGCTCTTGTGCTGTCTTGGGGGTCTCTGGGACGTATCCGATGACCCCCCTGATCGCCCTAGGTGTGCTGGGAAGGCTTGGCAAAACGCCCTGCGAGGCCGGGGGGGCCGCTTCGAGGCCCGTCTGGAGGGTCCCAAAGCCCCAGATCCCAGGAGTCCGGTTTTGGGGGGGGGGGGGGGGGACGGGTTTTCCCCCCGCCCGGGCTTGCAAGAATATAGTAAGAGGAATATGCATATAGACGGATGTAGAGTGCAGCAACGCATTAGTTGGGGTCCACGCTGGCAAACATTACCGGTATGATTCGTAATGGCCTCAATCGTGCTATGATTGATCTTCTGTGCCCGGACTGCTACTCTTGGCGGCTCCAGCCAGCAGGGGGGTGTCGCTCTCGTGCTTCCCGTCCTCTCCCTTCCCCTGCATCGACCACTCCATGTGCTGCCCTCTCCCACTGCGTACGTTCTCACCCCCCCCTCTCTCTCTTCCCTTCACTCCCCCGCCCCCGCTGGCCCTTTCCATCCATCCGCCCCATCTCAACTGTCTGCAAGCCCGATGCGCCCCAGAAGCCGTCCATGGCGTGGAACCCGCAGCCGCAGCAGGGAGAGATCACGACCGTCACCTTCGAGATAGAGATACTGCAGAAGGCACACCACGGATGCCATGGGGGGCGGAGGGAAGACCATCAGTAACCGCAGCAGCAGCAGCCGCAGCAGCAGCAGCAGCATCAGCAGGGAAGACCATCAGTAACCGCAGCAGCAGCAGCCGCAGCAGCAGCAGCAGCATCAGCAGCATTGCTAAGAACAGCGGTAATTCGCAAGCATAGCAGCGGCAACAGCGATAAGGTCGAGCAGAGTGTTCGTGATTCTCGCCCGTCTGTCGTACAAAGTGCACCCCCAAGCCCTCCCTCAGCACCCGCCACCTTCACCTTCGACCGTAGCTCCCTTGGGGGGGATCCCTGGTTCCTCCCCCCCGCGTGGGCGAGCCGTCTCCGCTCGTCCTCGCCGCCATGGGGCAATCTGTGGCGAGCAGCTGCCGCCGCTCCGCTGCGGCCCTGGGCGGTCCACCAGAGCCTCCAGTGAGGATCCTGCGGGGCTGGGGGGGAAAGACGCCTCGACCCCTCAGAGGGGGAGAGGCAAGACAACTCGAGGGAAAGGAGACGACGACGACGACGACGACGGGTAGCCTCCGTGCCGCATTTTGCCAGGGCGCTGGGAGGTCGATCCGTCGCCGCGGCGGGGCGCGGGCGCGGGCCCAGGGGCACGCCGCGCGGGGGCGCGGGCCCCCGGATGCGCCCCCGTGGCGATGCCAGCCGCTGCCGACGCGCCGCTCTTGGGCCGCGGGGCCCGCGCCCCGCGGGCGCCTGCAGGCGCGGCCGGCGCCCTGGCGCACGGCGGCCAGCGAGCGGAGGGTTGACGACGGCGACGACGACGACGACGACGACGACGACGACGACGGCGACGGCGACGACGACGACGACGACGACGACGGCGGCGGCGGCGGCGGCGGCGGCCACCACGGCGGCGGCGACCGCGGCGACGGCGACGACGGCGAGGACGGTGACGGCAACGGCGGCGGCGACGGCGGCG